CCATGACCTACCCACTGCTCTAGCTCCAAGTTTTCTGGTTATAAAAGTGTTATTGCCCATTGTATGAGGTAAAATTTACTGAAGGAAATAATAGCTGTCCATTAGATTTCAACTCAGAGCACTCCCGATACTCTGTCCTGATTTCCTTTTATTTATGCATATACTTACTTTGTAACAGAAAATTAAATGCTGAAGTATATCTTCCCAGTTGTCCTAAAAGGTACATAGTATCAAGCAATTAAAAATTCATTTCTTAAAAACTGTCTTTGATTAACATGTAATAGCTGTACATGTTTATGTTGTGTAATATTTCAAAACAGGTCTAAGACATGTACTTATCAAATCTGGACAATCCTCATTCCGTCTCCTTATCATTTTGTTTAGAGCTTTTGAGTGCCTCTGCTCACATTCTTCTTGCTTGAAATATGTAACAGGAGTGGAAAGCCCTGGCTTTGATCTCCAGCAAAGCACATATTTGAGCACGCATGCATGAATACACACATGCACACATACACACACACTCCGATTAGGCTCTCTGATGATAACTGGAATAGTACTTTCATGGTGTTTGGTACATGTGCAGGTGTTAAAAAAAAAACAAAAAACAAAAAACAAACCAACTCTGTGCATACCTATAGTCCTAGCACTCGAGAGGCAGAGGGAGAGGCAGGCAGGATTTCTGAGTTCAAGGCCAGCTTGGTCTACAAAGTGAGTTCCCGGACAGCCAGGTCTACACAGAAAAACCCTGTCTCTAAAAAGTGCCCCTGACACACACACACACACTGACACACACATACAAAAGAAAGAAAGAAAGAAAGAAGGAAGGAAGGAAGGAAGGAAGGAAGGAAGGAAGGAAAGAAAGAAAGAAAGAAAGAAAGAAAGAAAGAAAGAAAGAAAGAAAGAAAGAAAGAAAGAAAGAAAGAACAACTCTGGACAATACCAGTCATGAAAGGCAGAGCTTGAATAATGCGTCCTTGGTAACCTAGCAACCCTGGTGTTCACACACTTGGACTCTAGCAATGATGGTAGGTGTGTGGAGGTGGGGCGGGGGTGGGGAGACAAGAAGAAAAGCAGTTTGTGATTACTTCCCTCCTCCAGCTGGACTTTGAAAACAATGAATTAGCAGAGGCAAAGATGTTGATACCTTTCGTATTTTGATGCCCTTAGCCATCTTGTCCTAGGCTGGGGGCTGAGAAGCACCTACTCACACATAAATGGTTAGGGGTGCATGATCTTTTTTGGAGAAAAGTCTAACAGATTGTTATCACAATGCAGTGGTTTCTAGACTTAATGGGAATGTGGTGTTTCACTAGAAGAAGCCTAGGAAAAGTGGCATGCCTCGCTGAGAGGATAACCACTTAGGAGGTGAGCTAGTATAGTTCAGGCAAACAGTGCGGAGGACAGGCTTTAAGGTGCATAGCAAACTAAAGAAAATCAATTGGCATTATAGAGAAACACAGGCAGGCACTAGCTATTGGAGAAATTATGTTTCTCTGAAAGAAGTGAGAAAGTTGTTTTCAAAAGCAAATGGAGTCTCACATTAACTGTGAGAGGCAGTCAATGAAAGTTGTGCCATGAGAAGACAGGAGCCCACATGATGCCTAAACCATACTGTCATACAGTCACCGTTTAATGAACATTTATTACCCACTGGGATGCTAAGCAGTGTGTTAGGAACCAAGGGTAAGGGCCTGGTGCTCAGTGGTAGGACACATGCGAAGCATAAGCAAGGGCTCTAGGTTCCACCTTCAGTACTGAAAACAAAACAAAAACAGCATTGCCCAGCTGCAAGCCAGGATATTTTTGTCAGACAAAATTTATAGTATATCCAGTATATATACATATGTATTTCCTCTATATAACATTTTATGCTATATATACATATATATTATATATTTTTTCTGGTAACAGGTCATTAGCTTACTGCGCTCAATGCAGGGAAGGTGGGGTAGTGAGCTATATAGCAGGATGGGGAAGGACACAATTTGTGCTGGGCTGAGTGGGAGCTGGGATGGGAGGAATTGCAGTTCCCGTAGGCAGCACCTGATAACCAGAGAAGTGAGCAAACAACAGGTGGTAGTCTAGGAGAACAGTTGGCACCAGGATACCCAGCCCCAGGAAATGGGGAAAAGAACTGCTGATTAGATGGCTAGAACAGCCAGGAACACAGAGTGTAGACGTAGAGAGCTAGAGGCACATAGCGCGGCCAGTCTGGACCCTAGGACTTGGGTGAATCCTGACACTAGACAGAGAAGCCTGCAGTCTAGGCAGGCTGACAGTGCAGGATTTAAATACAAAGGGCGGAGGGTCGGGATGTAATCTACCAGGTACAGTGCTTGATACGCATGTAGGCAGCTCCGGGTTAGAGCACCAGCATTGCATAAACCTGGGGATGTGGCACAAGCCTGTAATCCCAGCACTCAGGTCATCCTCTGCCAGCGGGTTCCTGGCCAGCCTGGAATACATGAAATCTTGTCTCAAAACTAAAGAAATGGCTCAGTGGGTGAAGGCACCTACTGCCAACTTTGACAACCTGAGTTCAATGCCTGAAACCTACATGGTGGAAGGAGAGAACCAGTTTTGGAAGTTTCTTCTTGCAGGCTATGCCAGACATATACCATCCCCAACAACAATAAACAAACATAAATACATACATAAAAGGGCTGTTCTTAGATAAGGGCCAGGGTCAGAGTTCCCCACACAAACACAGAAGAGAGATATACAACAGAAGTCAGGCCGTGTGCTTGGGAGAAGTTCTGTGGCTCCTTTCTGCCTTGGGGTAGGAAAGGACTGGGTTCTAAGGGGGAGGAACAGAGGCCACCGATTAAGTAGCGCCAAGTGGTGCTACTCCTCAACGATGGCCCCAGGAATCGTCTTCCAGGCACAGAAAACAAGTGCTTTGAAGCAAATCAAAATGAACATGGAGACAAGGAAGAAAACTGTTTAGAAGTAAAAAAAAAATAAGAAATAAAATACTGTATGTAAACCAGGATGGAGTATCATTAATAAAATGATATGGTAGTATCCAGGCTGAAAATTGCATATGTCCCCTCTACTTCCCATAACATTACACGTTTATCCATTTAATACTGGGTTTGTAACAAACCTAAATGTCACCACCAAGGGCATCTCTCCACTAGTCTTTACTGAGCCCTTATCTCCATGTCCACAATGACTTACTGCTGCCTTTTGCCTCGTAAAATCTTTACAACAGGAAAATGACTTTGGACGGATTAACTTGGATTAATCTATTGAACTTGGATCCCTGAAGGCAGAAGTCCCTATTTCACTAAGGATGATGTAATCCAGTTTCGCCGACCAATCCTCACCTTTTTCACAGTCCTGCTACCTTCTAACACCGAAAGGGTCTTAGTGTCACAGAAGTGCTCAGAGGAAATCCATGCTTATCTCTCTCACTCATTTAAGGACACCAGGCACTGAGCATTTAACAAACACTGAGTGTTACGATCTGAGGAGAGCGGAGAACAGACCTACAAGTCTTTCTTTTCTCGGAGTTTACACCCTACAGGGTAGAGGGGCTCAGGTCACAAACTAAGTAATATCAGATAATAAAAAGTAATATAAAAACAAAATCTGGGGTATTTACGTAAGATAGGTGATTAGAAAAAAAATGTTCTGAAGCCAGGTGTGGTGGTTTATGCCTTTAATTCCAGCATTTGGGAGGCAGAGGCAGTCTCTGGAGTTCAAGGCCAGCCTGGTCTACAAAACAAGTTTCAGGACAGCCAGGGCTATTATACAGAGAAACCTGGTCTCAAAACCAAACCAAACCAAAATGTGTGTGGTGGAGGAGCCATGACCTATTGGGAGAGAATGCTTCCTGATTTGCTCAGGCAATAACTGCCCCTCTTAGGACTATGATAAAACTAACTGTCCAGAGGAAAAGGCCTATTTCCAGTCCCTTCTACTAACCTACTTAAAGGATTCTATTGCATTACAGAATATTAAATTGGACCTTGAAGTGTTGCCTTTGACTTTGGGGGCCAGACCATACGTGTCCAATGTCTCCTCCGGCTCTTGGCTCTCTGTTCATTTAGTGGGCAGGCAAACCGGAGAAACAGGCTGGCATGCTTATACATGCCAGCAGCCAAAAAGCAAGCCATGTCCTGGCCCAGCTCACTTGTCTGTAGGCAAGCTGTGGGCTGTGATATGCCACCGATTTAAGCCTGGGTGAGTTGATTTAAGGAGAACATGAGAATACCAAGTTACCTTCCCAAATATCTGAAAAGGATCTTTTTTAGAGACGCAAGGATATGAATTAAAATCTGATGCCATTTTGCTATCATTTCAGCGGCATGAAACTTGTCAGGCATCACCAACCCGTGCATTTCATGCTTGATTTCCTAAAGCTCCGACCTGAGATTCCTGCCTTTCTTATAGACTGATTTCTAGACCCCCAAATCAAATTAGGTTGCAGAAGTCACACTAGGTCCACTTGCCATGGTTTTGTCACAGCACACGACATGCATGAGACTTCTGGCCAACGAGGGAACATAAGGTCCACTCTTTTCCTTGAAATTAAAGAAGGTTAGTGTGTAAAGATATCAAGAAAGAAAAGTGACATCTTCCGTGGATGCAAGGAACTTCTGATATCACAATATACCTTCAGTGCATTGAGAATACTGCACTGACTCAAAACCGAGATAGCTCAAGAGTTCAGGAAAAAAGATGAGAACACAACTGAAATGTAATCGAGTAGCATGGAGGCACTGATGGTTCTGAAGGCAAAAGCAGATAAAGGAGAAAAGAGCACAAGACAGTTTAAACCAGAATATAAGGGAATTTAAATATTTTCAGCTGAATATGAAGGAATACTTTGGAGTTGTTGTTTCCCCCCTCAGGCCAGCGTGTAAATACACAGATATCAGTGTCTGGTACATTCTCTTTTCTCTTTCTTCTATTGTAAACGATTTTTCCAAGAGATTTTAAAGTACTTTCAGAAAAATGAATTAACCAAACACTGTATTTGTTGAAATACTTACCGAAGAAGTTAGGCATTTAACGTCTGATTTAAAAGAAAAGAAATCTTCCCTTTCTTCATAAACAGGTCACTGAAAACTTTTAACGGCATTTTGCACGAAGAGTGAGAGGTAAAGGAAGAAAAGAGGTAGTGACAGCTATCTGCGTGTTCTAAAAGGAGGGAATGGGCCTCGGGAGGGTATACGAGGTCACTGGGCTGAGCCAAAGGTGGACTGAGAGTCATATTTATAGTCCGCTGACTTCAGTTCGGCCGGCTCCCGCTGCTCCTTATCTTAGCCCCGAGGAATTCGCCGGCCCGCAGATCACAGCAACCCCAGCGCCCCGGGCCCAGACGCGGCTTTCGCTACGTGACCCCGAGAACGCGTGCACCTCCACGTTCCTCCCCGCGGGCCAGAACCAGAACCCGGGAGCGGGGCGGTGGGTGGGTGAGTCATGAATGCAGTGTGGCTACATTTTTCTTTTCAACGACAACTCGGAACGGGCAACCGATCCCGCACCGTGGAGACTCGGGCGCCTTCGGAGCCACCCAGCCCGCTCCTCACGTGCGGGCGCGAGCTCCGGCTCCACGAGGGGTGTGCCCGCATGGTCTACTTCACGCAGCCTCGTCCGAGCGGCCCCTCCGTCACGCGGGTGGCGGCGGCGTGCGCGGAGGGGCGGCCCCCCCTTCCCGCGGCAACCTGGCGCCCCCGTGCCGGCGGCCGGCCCTCCTTCCCGGCAGAGGGGCGCCGGGCTCCATGGGCCCTTCGGGCACTTCCGCCGAGCTCTCGGCTCCGTTCGTGTCCGGGGCGGGGCCGGCGCCCCGGGGCGGGTGCGCGCAGAGCTGGCGGGGGCCCTCCCCAGTGCGCGCGCGCCGGCGCCTCTCGCCCGGGCCGTCCCTCCCCCACGCGCCGCCCCTCCCCCTCGCTCCCCCCCCCCCCCGGTCTCCCCCCTCCCTCGGCGAGCTCGCGTCCTCCGCGGCTGAGGCGGCCGAGATTGGAATCTGCTTGCCGGCCGCGCGGAGGAGGAGGAGGAGGAGGAGAAGGAGGAGGAGGGCGGAGGGAAGGGCGGAGGGAGGGAGGGAGGGGAGGTTGGAGCTCCCGCGCGAGACGAGGACCGACCTCACGGCCGCGCGAGGGGCGACAGGGCCCGGGCCGCTGCGCGCCGAGGGCGGAGGCCGAGCCGGGCCCCGCCGCCCCGCGGCTGTCCGTGCCCGCCTGCGCCGAGCGCCGGAGGATGAGTTTCTCGGGATCCCGGTGAGTTGGCGGGGTCGCGGAGTGCGGGTGCGCCGCGGGAGGCCGGCGAAGTTTGGGGCGACGGTGGCCGCGCGGGGGAGGCCGCGACACGCCGGAGCGGGGCCCTGCGGGAGACCCCGGCCCCGCGGCCCGGCCCGGCCCGCCCGCGCTCGCCCTTTTGTTCGCATTCCCAGCACTCGGAGGACGCTTCTGGAGTCCTTAAATGGGAACGGCGCTCTGCTCCCGCTCCGGAGCTGCGCGGTGGAGTCTGGGGCTGGGTCTCGGGACTCTTTGCTAGGGGGGAAAAAAAAAAAACCAGAACAAACGTGTTCGGTGCGGGGATGGAGGCCGGACTAAAGCGCTCGTCCCACTTGGCTGCGGGAGGGCGCCGGGGTTCTCCCTCGGTCCCTGCGAGTTGGTTCACCTGTTGTTCTGCGCGGCGGCCTCCGCTGCCATGTCTGTTGTGATTCTGCACTTGAATTTCGGAAAACTTTGTGCTGGATTGCGTGTACATCCCCCTCCCCTTCCAGACTCCTAGCGGAAAGATTTGGCAAAGAAAAGAGAGAAAAAGAAAGAAAGAAAGAAACGCGTCAGGGAAGAAAAAGAAATAATACGCTGTGTGTTAGTGCCCGGCGTTTTGTGACTTGTAAGAAAGACTCCGTCGTGGTGTGGATCTTTTTCGTTTGGTTCAGGGGCTGCAGGTTTTCTCCTTTCAACGGTTTACAGACTGTTTTGAGGACACGATACGAGCTTAGCACTCGTGTCACGTCCTTTACTTTTTAAGATAACCCTGGTTATTGTATTTTTTGTTGTTTTAGAGGAGGAAACCGAGACGCAGAGGTTAAATAACTTAGATAAGTGAGCTGGGATTGGACCCAGGGATGTCGTATTCAAGAGTAGGACCCTCTTACAAAAGCAAATTGTGCAAAGACTTAAGAGCGTTTGCCAGTTATGCATGAAATCCTGTGTGGCTTGAGTTGTAAACGACTTGTGTTGGCTCGTGAGGGGAATTAAACTTGGAGGTAAAAGTAAAAGGTAATTTAATGCTTATCATTGTTCTCAGCTGAACTAAAAGGATGTTGAACCAAAATTAGCTTTTTAAGGTCAAAACTAAAATATGAACACTTCTGTAGGAACGCAAGAGTTTACGGAAGGCAGATTTAAATTTGGAATGCGTTGCTAATTGGACCGACACTGTTTTGTATCTCTCCCCCCTCACATTCTCGGTGATGCCCTTTCAGGCCAACTGTCTTCATTTCTCCCCACCCTTTAAGAGTGAAGCATCCAGCGTGTGCTCTTTGCTTTGGATTCCTTCTCAGATCTACTTTCCTTCTAGGGGGTCCCAACCACTTTACTAGTTAACACCTGGCTCATCTCCTTTTCCTATTGGAGATGATCTCTGTTGTCTTGTTTCTTTTTGTTGTTGTTGTTTTGTGATCAGTGTCACTGATCAGTTGGCTGGCCTCGAACTAGCTAAGTAGACCAGGCTGGTATTTGGGTTTTTTTTAAAGTACACATGTACTTAGGATCCTTCAGTTTACAAAAATCTTTTCTGTAGTTTTGCTCTTCTCTCAAGCTGTGTTGTATTATCTTTTCAAATCATTAACATTTTGAAGTTTTTTTTTCTTACAAAAGTAATACGTAGTCGTTAAAGAAAAATTGCAAAATAGAGCAAAATTGAAGTAAAATTAAAATACAGTTACCCTTCCTTCCTGGAGAGATTGCCAGGAGTAGGCTTACTATTCCTCCCTGGATACTGGTGACCATCCATCGACTTAACTCCTCATTGACAGGATTTCACATTCAGGAAGGAACTGAATATAGCTTAATCAGATCTCAACACTGGTGTGAGGCCTGAAGTGTCTGCTAGGGAAGCCCTCTACGCCTGAACTACATTCCCAGCTGGCTTCACATCCTTATGAAGTATCCTCGCTGTTCACTCACCTATACTGTATCATCGGACCCACTAAGGGTGGGGGGCAACCACGGATATTGTACCTATACTCATGAAGCTTAAAGTCTAGTGGGGGAGACATATGGAAGGATGAGTTCTGTATAATTAAGTGTAATTGTGATGATAATTAAAGTGTAGGGTATTATAAAAGCTTAAAGTGGAGACCTGACCTGGTGCTGGTGTTGCTGAGAGAATCTAGGAAGACCTCCCTAAAAATGTTATTTTGCATCCTGACACAGTTGTGAAGGGAGAAAAATTAGGTGAAAGGGGGGCTTCTATGACATGGTAGCTTTATTCTTTTTTTGTTCCCCCTTCAACCTCTATTATTCTCCTTTCTCCTAATTATTCTAAGTGTTCTCCAGGTTTCACTTTTTACATCACTCTTAAAAATAGTTCCCTGGAATTATTACACTTATTCCTGTGTGTATGCTGCCATGGCACAGTTGTGGAGGTCAGAGGGCAGCTTGCAGGCGTGAGTCTTTCCTTCCATGTGTGTCCTGGAAGTTGAGGTCCTCAGGCTTGGTTGATGGCAGGCACCTGTGCCTGCTGAGCCACCTGGCTGGCCCTCCCATCAACTATTGGTGAGATTTTTCTGATTATTTCTCAAATTCAGATTTGCCTTCTGAACTTGAAGACTTCTGGTTGCTTTATGTAAAAAACTGTACCTGGTAGTCTAGTTCAGATGAGCTCTTCCTTAGCGGTCGGCTTATGATGCTACCTATCCCTGTTAATGGATCATTCCCAAATCTCTTCCCCAGTCCTTCCCAAGTCTAGTCTGTAGTCAGCATCTGTAGCTACTGCTTTCCTTCCTGATCCTCTGACTCCTCTTTGTATTCCTGCCAACTCTGATACAAGTCTTAGTTTGTGCTGGTACTGGGATTAGAATAGTTATAGAATAATTGGGTAGCTTTCCTTCTTGCTCTCTTTTCAGGACTGGGACCATTTATGTCTAGATCTTTTTTTCTGGAGAAGACTTTTTCAATTTATTTAATAATTATTTGTTTGTGTAAAATTGTGTGAATTTCAGAGCTTCATAGTTTTTAAGATTTGTTTTTATTTCTAATTAGTTGTGTGCATGCATGTCTGTGGGTTTGTCTATGTTTGTGAATGTCGGTGTCCAGGGAGGTCAGAAGGAGGTGTTGGTTCCCTGGAGCTGGAGGCAGTTGTGAGCCACCCAAAGTCGGTGGGAAGCAGACTTTGGTCCTCTGTAAGAACAGCAAGAGCTCTTTCTTTCTGATCCATCACTTTAGCCCTGGGTTTTATATTTCTTTTCCAGGAATTTATTTCTTGAGTTTTCCAGAAATAATTTTTTTGAATTAAAATGTTTTTTATTAATTCAAGAATTTCATACAGTATATTTTGATCATATTCATCCCCCAGACTCCCAGACCTATCCTCCACCCTCATCTCCCTGTCCACCCAATGTCGAGTTTTCTTCTTTAAAACAATTTGTTTTTTTAGACAGGGTTTCTCTATGTATGTCCTGGAACTCACTTTGTAGACCAGGGTGACCTTGGACTCAGATCTGCCTGCCTCTGCCTCCCAAGTATTAGGATTAAAGATGTGTGCCACCACTGCCCAGCCTAAACATCTTTAAAAAATATTCATCATTCAGTTTGTGCTGCTCAGCTACCCTTGGGAGTCGGGACTGCCCTGAAGTATGGTCAGCCTACCAGGGATCACACCATTCAAGAAAATGGACTCCCTCTCTTAGCAGCCATCCAATGCCAATAGCTCCTCAGCTACCAGTGGGATTTCATGCCCACCCCTCACCCATGCTGGGATTTTGTCTGGTTTGAGTTTGTACAGGTCTTGTGCATGCTGTCATAGCCACCATGAGTTTCCATGTGCAAGTGCCCTGTTGTGCCCAGAAAACACCGTCTCCTTGAAGTTGTCCACCACCTCAGTCTTCCTGTTCATCCCCTTTTACAAGATCTTGAACCTTTCCTGGAGGGGTGTGATATGTTGGTTCCATTTAATGTTGAGTACTCCAGTTTCTTATTCTCTGCACATTGACCAGTTGAGGGGCTCTGTGGTAATTGCCGACTATTGCGAGAAACTTCTCTCATGAGGATTGAGAGATGGACTGATCTATGGGTAGAGCAGTAAGTCACTAGGAGTCATTTTAGTACTATGTCTGTTAGCAAAATAGTGGTAGTAAGTTCTCCCCTAGGCCCCACAGTTTCTTAGCCCTGTTAACAGTACCAGGCATGGATTCTATGTCATGATGGAATAAAATATTTTTTTTTTTTTTTTTTTTTTTTGTGGTTTTTCGAGACAGGGTTTCTCTGTGTAGCTTTGCGCCTTTCCTGGAACTTGCTTTGGAGACCAGGCTGGCCTCGAACTCACAGAGATCCGCCTGGCTCTGCCTCCCGAGTGCTGGGATTAAAGGCGTGTGCCACCACCGCCCGGCGAAATAAAATATTTTATTTGGAGTTTATTTGGTTTTCATGCCCCCCCCCCCACTTCCACTTTAATTTCTATTATATTTCTCTTTTCCTGTTTAGTCTGAGGTTGGTGGAATCCCATGGTAAAGGGGAGTCTACTGTACGTTATTTTGTTCTTGTTAAGGGACAGGGTCTTGTTGTATTGCTCAGGCTGGACCCAAATTCCTGGGATAAATAATCTTCCTGCCAGTAGCTGGGAATCCAG